TCATGTAGACATATGAACCTTGCTTAAAAACTCCTGAGCTCGTCTTTACTTCTAACATGTTTTCACCTCGCAGCCAAGGTCTAAAACGCCTCACAAAGAGCTTTTATCTTTACCAGACTTTCATTTTTAAGAATAATTCTTTATATTTTAAGAACAATAGGGAGTAGGATTTCACCAGTAGGACCAACCCTTACTACTCATACATTGAATACTGCATCCCCACTCTGCTTTACACGGACTCCAATCCACCCACACCAGCAAGTGATGGGCTGCCCAGAAGATAAAAAAGAACTGGATGCTCTTGGGCTCAATGTATTAATATTTTTTTCATTCAGGTGTTTTATTCATTTAGATTTTTTCCTGTTGACATTAGTCGTCATTTTTTTTGCCATGAATAGATATTTATAGCATTCACATTCACATATTCACAAAAAAGGGCAAATGTTGTTTATTTCTGTTTTTAAAAGGAATGGTTTAGGACACTGAAGTGGCCCAGTAGCTGCTTCAAGTCTGTCCTTGAGCATGGCAAATCCTGTGATACTAAAAATGTATTTGCAATGATCAGTTTGTATAGAGATTGTTTAACACTACTTTCTATTGTTAAACTGATTCTCGGGTTAAAATATAAATCTTCTGCACTTATTTGTGAGTTCAATGTGGGGGAAAAAAAGGCTTATATCTGCTTGGGAGAACAAGCTAATTTACATTACTCACTGTTGGACTGGACTGCTGCACTGAAACGCAAGTTTTTAACTGCCAAACAGTCTTGTACACAGACAGTGATTTATTCATGTGCTTGTTCCAAAGTGCTATGATAACAGTTCAGAAGACATTTTCAGTATATTTCAGTGTACATTAAATATGTATAAATATACTTTGATACGTCTAACATTGTTCTAATGTGTATATAGGGATATAGTATAATCTTTATCTGCCTTTACATCGACCTTTACAAAGCATTCTAGTGTCTGTCCTGCCAAACCCTGTAGTGTCTGACATAAATTTTTATCATTCAAATTTTGTCATTCCAAGTAAAACTTTTTAATGTCACACAATTGTACTGCAAGGTACTTGTACATTGTTTTTATGTGCTGTATATCACTTTATTGTAAATACTTGTTTGCTGAGATTAACTGTTCCCAGCATCCTTGATTCGCAACATACTTCACTATGAGTTAGTGTACTAGAGTTTTGATAAATTGATAAATTAAATAATTTTTTAAAAATACATGTTTTTCTTTTTGAAACTCTATAGTTCTGCAGTGAGAATAAGAGGAAAGTACAGGGTTCATTTCTTCCTGAATGTGACTACAAAAGTCTGTATACTGAGCACATGATGACTCCCTGACATTCATAAAATTTTATTTAATCAATTTACTAAGTGACACTAATGAAAGAAAAACATGAACCTGTTACTTTAAGTTTGTCAGCATATGCGCTTGAGATAGAATTTAGCACAATTAAATGATTGTATTCTTCATTTAATTACTACTGTATATTAAATATTTGACAGCACACAGGAGAATGCACAAATTGATGCATAGACTGATGAGACCCACAACCATTCCCCAGCACCTTCACCTGTAGCATCCTTCTCACAACTCAAACAAGCAGCTGCCCGCTTTATAGTCAGGAACCCATAATGCACTAGGAGGCCTTGTGCATGCCTGGTGTTGGGATTTAATTGGATATTAGTATCCAGCAGTGTCTGAATTAATCAAATCATTTCCATCCATTAATTTAGTGGAGGAACATACAATTACAGCCTTATTAGTGTGCTCTCAGGAGTATGCCTTTTCATCCCTCTACAGAACATTGAGAGTTGGCCAGAGTCCAGTGCAAAGCATTCTCCCCTCTTCAATCTGGTGCCTCCTCGTGATGAGCATTCTGTCAATCTATAGAACCGGGCTGCAAGCTTACAGCGAGGAAAATGTCACACTATAGAAAGGTGCTACTCACTAACGAAAAAATCCATTGTTGGCGTCTCTTTTGAATCTTTACCATTTGTCAGATTATGAAATTATTAGGTCAGAGGACTTAAAAGTTACAGAGTAATTCTATTTGGTGAAACATTGCTGTGAAAACCAGCACAAAAATGTCCTAAATAGGGTGAGAAGAGATTTGGAGATTTAGGCAGCAAGCAAACATAATCTAGCGCACTAATGTAGGTCATTTTATCATAATTTCCATATTTATATATTTTGTACAAATCTGATTTATAGTGCACAGCTTTTTATTATTCTTCAAGAGAATAAATACAGGAATTAAATTTTTTGTAATGAAAAAAATAAGAATGGTTTATCTAAGCAATAAGTTTAAAAACATCACATAAATACTACACTTCTGGTTAGGGCGACCCCCCTTGCCCCCCCCCTCTTGTGAATCTGAGTTAAAACGTTTTTTGCACAAAGTAATCCAGACTGCTCAGATGAGCAGCCATTTTTAATTAAATCCATTTACAGAGGAAACCAAAGTGAGAAAAAAAAGAGCCAAGGGATTTTACACTCTGTCATCCAAGGCTTCAGTGGATCAAAGAGTTTTAGTTGTGCTTTTTAATGGTTACGTAATATTTTTGCCTATGAGATATTGGGCTTGGGCACCATGTAGTCAGTCCAAAGCTTGACGGTATCACAGATTTCCTGCAGTGCACTTTGAGATTTCAGGCAGGATACAATAAGCCTATGTTTATGTCTAAGTTCTAAGTATAGCTGTCAGTCAATACAATACTACTGGTGTAACAGGACAGTGTAAGTAGGCAGCAACCTCTAAAAAATGTTAGATTCTTGCATTCTACCCGTGTGTGTGTGTGTGTGTGTGTGTGTTTATATGCATGAGTTGTATGTATGTATGTATATGTGTGTTTGAGCCTGTCTGCCTCTCTGCCGGCCTGGCTGGCTGCCATGTGGCCCATCTCTTACTGTCATCCTGTCTGACATTAGGGCTAAGCTGGATCTCATTAGGACCAAGGTGGCAGTGATCCCGTCAACATCGCTTTGGCTCCTGCCATATGGGTCGCCTCCAAGGTAACGGGCTGTATCAGTCTCCTCAGAGCTGCAAGCCTTGTTATAGCACACACACACACACACACACACACACACACAGACGGAGTATCTACTCCCTAGACGAGTGCGTACCGTACATATAAACCTGAACAAACACGTCAAACAGAGAGGACATAATAAAATACTGACGGTAAGATAATTTGGTCAGATCTATGGGTGAGATGAAGAATATATAAAATAAAATTCTACATGTTTTCCATGAGAAATATAAAATTATCAGGACAGTCATCTAATGTAGTTTTTATGAGCTATGAAAACTATTTTATAATTCTTCTGGTCATAAGCAAAACGTAATTAGTGTAGCTTTTTGTTAAGTATATACTTAAGTGTGACCAAATCAGACCAAATATCTTGCAGTATAAGATGGAAGGAAAAGGTTTTCTTTAATATATATTGTGTAATAAAGTTACGATAGATGCATAAACTCTTAACTTAAAAAATGTTAACGCGCAAGCTACAGTAAATCCGTCGGCAGTTGACGACCTATGTAACTATGTGGTGATTTAACACTGTAATAAACAGACTTTTTTTCCCCCCTGCCTTCCTCCAAACTTGTCCCTGCAATCTGAATGACACCAGCTGAGCTGAAGAAAATGAAAACAGACATCTGAAATTGGCACCGCAATCAGCGCAAAGTTGGCTTCTAGAAATTCAATCAGGAAAACTTTTTTATCTAATAAATCTCCATTCTGTGCAACATCACTGCCCAAACTCAGTCTGTACTTGTCATGGTCAAGTCACAGTCAAACATAGCGGAGCAACGTGCACCAATGTCCCACCAATGTCAAATATAGCACTGTACTGCTCTTAAAGCAAGCATCTGACTCTTATCAAAGCAGAGTAAGCAGGAAGTCATTTATGATTTTGTTTAGTGCTTCTTTGCTCCAGCTCATAAAAACCGTGAATTTATGACATCCCATGCATAAATAGATGATAGCAATGTACTTTATAAAAACACCAATAGACAGTCACTATTATTTAAAAATACAAAAACCACATCACATCCAAATTACAGGACCACAAATCGTCCTTTTGATTTACTGTAAAGAAACAGCAGCATGTCTCACTGTTAGGGTCATATACATACCAGTCCTATGTGTAGATTATGGCTTTGATATTCACTGTTATTAAACACACTGATGACAATTTACTTCCTTCAACTTCACATGCAACTAGGACACCAGAATACATTGGAAGCAAAACAACTGTGTCAAAGTTGCACTTTGCCAGATTGGCGGCTGTTATAGATTTTTTCCCTTTGGCCTGTTTGTTTTGTTTCAGCCCCCACCCTCACAAAAGCAACTGTTTATTTCATCAGTTTGGCAACAAAGGCATGTGATCAATCATTCATAATTTATGATGCTGCCAATGGCCTAGGGCCCATAAAAACAGATATTTGCATTACACAAGGTCTTAGCTGGACCTCCCGATAACAGACCAATAAATTTTGTTGTTGTACATACACACAGGCCCTGATAAGAGGTAAACTTTGCCTCTGTGTTACAGTAGAGCACAGGGCAGTGCTAGCAGAGATGATGTTGTGATCACATGCTACTATAACAATGACCTGGACCCCGTCCTTTAATTCCTGTTCCCCCAGCCAGCATCCCGCTGCCTTTCCCAAGCCCTGCTGTTGTTATTATTTAGCACTACTCAAAGCAAACGCCCTAAATCCCTTGTGCAATACGAGTCTAACTGTAACAAACTGGCTGTCCATTTATCTGATCCTCTAGTGAGACAGGCTATTGGCTATTACACAGGTGCAGACACAAAAAAAATCATTATTTAGGAAAAATGAAAACTACTACTCTCTATGAAGCTAAGATGGAATGTTTATCACAACTCTGAAAGCGTCACAGTTTTTAAGCCAGAGATCTGACAGAGATACGGCGATAGACACTCAGTTGGACTACATAGAGATGTCTTCATTCTCCTTACCTTGACATGCTGTCCGCGATGCAGTTTTGACCCGGGTATCCTTCACCTCTGGCCGACATGCCTGGCCGAGATTTCCACGACTCCATTAACGCCGTTACGGGCGAAATTAGATTCAACAAAGGGTTGGACTGGTCCCTCACATCATGCCGCGTGAAAGACATTGTTCCTTGGGCTCCAATCTGGTAATGGAATGAGTGTCCACCAGAATTAACTCCAACAATGGCCGATGTGGGCATGCTGTTATTCTCTTGGTAATAGCTGCCATCAGTGGTCTCCTGCTTAACCCCTTTAGACAGGACATTGTTGGAGAACACATCGGGCTCATAGTTCCCATTCATAGAGGAGACAGGGGGTCCTAAGATACCAGAAAGACTGTATTCATCAATGTTATTCCTCAGGGACAAATAGGTGGTCTCAGATGCAGGGAAGAGACCAAGAGACGGTGACTGCTCACCATAGGGCTGTTGATTCATACATCCCTCATTTTTGTTTGGCTCATTCTTAATCTGTGTGATAAAGGGTGTGCTACTCACACTACATTTGGAGCTACCTAAACACATGCTCCTGAAGTCAGTTCCAGGCTCGTTCTTAATGTACTTAACCATGCCCATCTGGTCTAAGCCGACGTTGAACACTTCCCCGTCTACCATCTCTACTTTAGGGAACTCAAAGTTCTTAAAGTCTGTGTCTCTGGTCAGACCTGTTGCTTCTGGGCTGTTGGTGTCATTCTGCACCAAACCCAGTCCACCGGCAGGACTAGACACTGGAAACCCAGCAGAGGACGGATTCTGTGGGCTGCTGACAGCCATAGTGCTCCCTGTGGCCGGGCTGGAGATGGAGGGCCTTACTGTGTTGCAGTTGTTGGCAGTGCTGGTGCAGCTGCCACCTGTGGGGCTCGAGACAGATGACCTAATGTTACACGTAGTGCTGCAGGACGGAGGCGATCTCACACTACTCATACTCTGGGGGCTGGACATGGGAGACCTCATGACATTGAGTGGGCTGGTGAGTGGTGGTGAGCCCACTGTGGTGGACTCTACAGGGCTACATGTGGCTGAATTCCTGCGCTTGATGTTGGCCAGAGTTGCAGCACAAGACGTCTGGCTGACAGGACTACTGACGGATGAGCACACTGGTCCAAAGCACGTAGGAGGACTGGTGGTTGACGACACCATATTGTTGCTGCCCCCAGGGCTGGAGATAGAGCTGGAGGTCTGGGGGCTGCAGGACAGAGATGAGGCCAGCATAGACGCTGAGCTAACTGGAGTCCCAGTGGTGCATTCTCTGGGAGTGGCGCTGGACTGCTGGAAACCAAATGGCTTTAACTTGGGGCTCTTTGTGGAGCCACCCTGGGTCTCCTCTAGGGGCCGTCCACACGCTGGATACATCTTGCCAGGGCTGGTACTGCCCCCATGCTGGCTAAAGGCAAAGTCTGCCTCCCTGGCAGCATTCATATACAGACCCATGGACTCAGCCACAGTCTTGGAAAGCTCCTTGGAGTCCATTTCCTGCTTATGACCGTGGAGAGAGTTGTTGAAGTGTGGGAGAACAAATGGCTGGTTCTGGCTGAGCCGAAGCATTGGCTGCTCCTGCTTCTTTGTATTGTTGTCTTTGCAGTCGGTGGCCGGGCTTCCAGCAGGGCAGCTGACATTGACTATGTCCATCAGGATATCACTGCTAGTCAGACTTGAATCCTCTGTGCTGCAGCAGTATTCCATGTTGCTGGGGACCTGAGACCATCTGTTCTCTGTATCGCTTCCATCAAAGAAACTTTGGTATCTTTTGGTCTCCATTGCTGGCTCATTGATTCACCTGGCAAATAAGGCAAGAAGGAAACAAAAAGAAAAGAATGAGAAAAGTTCACAATACTGTTTTTTCAAGCCAGTTGTATTATGGGTTTTTGCCTTTAAGAAGAGATTACAGCTCTCAAGTGAGACTAAATTATATATTCAGCAATTTACGGATCAATTTTAAATCTACATTGTAAATATCGTCTTTTAGTTTTGGTAGCAAAGCAGTAAATTCTGCTTCAGTGGCTATAAACCTAATGAGTCAAATGAGAAAGGAAGCGGTAGAGATACTTTATTTACAAATAACATATTTAACTTATTTTGATACTATAATGGCTTACCGTTTAAAAATCCATGACAAAAACTGTAAACAATATGTGAAATCTGAAAAAGTCCAAAGCAAGTCTGTACAGTATTTCCTCTCTCACAGATAAAGCTTCTTATCGCTGCACTACAGGGGATGTACAGTGATAACTTGAAGAAAAATGCATGGCAAGGGTTAATGTATCTAAGTGACGTCGGCCGGGCTTTTTGTTTAAATGCCCACCTCTACTGCGCCTCTATTGGACAGCTGAGCTAGAAATCCACCAGCTTCATCAGGCCATTCATGGATTGGTCCGGAAGCTGTCACTCAATAGTTATTGCTCTTGCAGCCACAACATAGCTGCGACATAACTTGAAATGTTGTTTTAGTGGCCGGAGCAGCCCAGTCAAGTGCAAAAGCAATAAAAATACAGACAAAAATTAAGACATAGCCAATTACGATGACACGGCTTTGCTTTAGGTGATGTTTCAATATTTATTTTTCATGCTACGCTGCACACTTTGAAGGGCTCAGCCCTCCAGCAGCCGCGATATCTGAGTTAAAGTTATGCAGGTTGACTGCAAAATATCAGCAACACATATGCGCCGATCCTTAAATATAGCATGAAAAATAAAAGAGATGTCATCTTGATAATTCCTCCCTATACTCCAGCCGTGATTGTCCTGCCTCTGTAGGACATGCAGCTCTCTGCATTTCTCTCCATTTTGCGTTTGCGCAGAATAAATACTAAATGACGGTTTATGTTATATTGTTGCTGTTGGAAGTTTTTTCTTCCGTGTGAAAGTTGTTGCATTTGAGGCTTTTTGAATAAAACGGAGGACTAAGTGCAGTAGGAAGAAAATATAAATTATTTAAGTCATATTTTTAGAAGAAAAAAAAACTGGCAGCACGAGATATTTCTCAGCACGTCGAGACAGGTGTGTACATAAATATAAAATCTACTCTCAATTTGAACGAAATTGTTGAGGTTAATTTTGTAAATACTTAAAGTAGGCTGCATAAACTTCTTGACGACTTTTATTATGGAGTAGACACGGGGCTAACGGTCCCGGTTGAAAGTTATTGGATCCCTCTCCCACAGCTCATGGACCGGGGATGCAAGTATTCAGTTATCCGACTCAACAGCGGAGAGTTTGCTTTCATTCTCTGAGACCCAGCGCCAAATTAAAATGTACAGTCAAACACTGAGCTCTGTCCTTCCTTACCTTAATTACGACATTCAGAGTTGTCAGGTGGCTGTGTTGCTGGGCAGCGATAATCCAGAGGACAAAAAAAGACACGCACAGCAAAGTCAATGAATATCAACAAATGTGCTCTGTCTACTCTTTCCAATACATAGTTTTCAGTTTGACAGCTACACACACTGGAGAAGTCTACTGCGTATTATCACGAGTAATCCTCAACAGCGAGCCGCTGCTCCTGACAGGACGAACGGCAGCGACGGGTCGGACGACAGCGGCAGATGAGCTCACATTATGGCCGTAATTTTACAGATTACCGATTCTGGGCCCTAGATAAAAAGAGTAATAAAAACAAACGAAGGAGTCTGTCGGACTTGCAGTCACAGCGACGTCATTCTGTGGACATGGACCCTCCTACTGCAACGAGTGCAACACAAACTCTGAGGTGGTGGGGGTGAGGCAGAGAGGGGAGGGAGGGGCTCAGAGCGCAGGTAGTCAGAGCCGTCTGGAAATAGGGCACCGTATTCAGTGCAGCGTTGTTTGAAATCAACTCTCAGACCAACAGCGTGAAGCAGGTCTGTTTGGTTGAAATGAAATAATCCTCTGTAAGTTTGTTACATTTTGTGTCGGCTATAAATCCTCCGTCCTCTTCTCTCACCATACTTTATACTGTTTTCATCTTTACGAGTGCCACCTCTGAAAAGGCTTCCCGTGGTGCCAGTGCAAATTCATTTGCACGCACGCGCACCCACAATTCAGATTAGAGGAGATCTCACTCTACAGTTAACACGGAGCTTGAAAACCCGACAAATACAGAGAGAGGAGTCATTCTACTGTGAGAGTGAAATCAAGTCAGGATGTTGCCCTGTAACACTGAGATGTCTGTCTCCACTAGGTGGAGCAAAATTTCTATTGCTGCTCAAAAAGCAAATCTATTGAGTGGTCAAGATGTCACTGAATTTAGTCCATGTCAAACTGTGATAAAATATTTTATATCACACCACTGATGAAAGAAAACTCAGACTTCATGTGCTCAACATTAATGCAACTGGATTAGTTTTTCTTTTGATCAGCCAAACTTAAAACTGTAGTTGTCTTTATGAACAATCAACCACCATCATTAACAAATTCCCTTACAGAGGAGGATCATGTTAATGTGTCGTTAGACATTTTTGGATCATGTTTTTAAAATTGAACAGAGAACACACACTTTAGTGTTGTCAGCTCATGAAAGTGAAAAGAACCAAGAGAAGGAATATTGTTTAAAAGTGAATAACCACAAATAAAATAATGGATAAAATAAATGTATACCCACACTTTGTACAGAAGCTATCACACACAGTCAAGTTGGCATACTATAACTTCAATGATATGAGATCAGTGTAGCTCTGTGATAATGTTCCTTGGTGCACTTGTGAGGAAGTGAAATGGGCCTTTGTTTATCTGTGACACCAACATCAACAAAAATGGTTGTGACTATCATTCGGTCTAAGCTGTTATTTACATTTAACTATCAATAGCTCGTGGCATTGATGTGAGTGTAGACTTTGGTTTTACTCCAGCAATGTCTAATAATCAGTTTAATCTCTGGAGTTGTCAGTCAGTCGAGTCACATTCTGTAGTGTTGGCTGTGTAAAAGTCTGCATGTAGGACTTAGGCTTTGTGAGAGGAGCTCTGCACAGTGGTTTGAATGTTTCTCCTCATTGCTTGTCTGGGTTTTCCAAGCCAGCCTGTAGCCATTACCCTAGCGAGGCAGCAGCAGTTAGATTAGTCAAAGCCATCCAAGCAACACTGCCCACCTCCCTGATCTGCCTGTTAATCACCCATGAATGGGGACCTGCTTCAGAAAAAGCAGGAGAATTGAGATATAACCAACGTTTCCCACCCTCATTCATGCAGCTCCCACTTGTCCATTGCACATAATGGGTGCCAGTCAAACACATCATGAGCAAATCTAATTTAGCTGTGCATCACAGATTTTTTCCTCAGTGACAGAGTCATAAGAATTTGCAGACTGACAGGAGAACACGGCTGATATGAAATCAGTTATAATTGGCTGCCTCTCTGGTAAAAAATTGAAGGCAGCTCCATTGACTCTCACCGAGCTTTCAAGCACCATCGTTTTAGTCAAATCAATGACAATCACACTGGCCTGAAAATATTGTACATAGATGGAAGCTAAAAATAGCTGTCTTTTTTGGGGGGAGGAGAGCCAGGGGCGAGGGGAAAAGGGGGGGGGGGGGGCCTTTTAGATGAGTGACTGCTATGATTAGGAGGAGGCTTCCACTCCAGTTTAGACACATGTGATTTGCATTGATTTGACTAAAACGATGGTGCCTGAAACTCGTGAGAGTCAATGGAGCTGCCTTCAATTTTTTACCAGAGAGGCAGCCAATTTATAACTTGATTTCATATCAAGCGTGTTCTCCTGTCAGTCCCTGCAAATTTTCTGACCTCTGTCACTGAGGAAAAATCTGTGATGGCACAGCTAAATTAGATTTGCTATGATGTGTTTGACTGGCCACCCATTATAGTGCATGACAAGTGGCGAGCTGCATGCATGAGGGTGTGGGGAAACGTTGGTTATTTCAATTCTCCTGCTTTTTCTGAAGCCGGTCCCCATGTCATCGTTGATTAACAGCAGATCAGGGAGGTGGGGCAGTGTTTGCTTGATCGGCTTTGACTATCTAAACTGCTGCTGCCGCAGTCGCTAGGGTATGGCTCGGCTGGGCTTGGAAAACCCGAGCAAGCAATGAGGAGAAACATATTTCAATACCACTTGTGCAGAGCTCCTCTCACAAAGCCTAAGTCTACATGCAGACTTTACAAGAGCCAACACTACAGAAGTGTGGACTCGACTGACTGACAACTCCAGAGGATTAAACTGATTATTTAGACATTGTGGAGTAAAACCAAGTCTACACTCACATCATGCCCCGAGCTATTATAGTCTAAATGTAATAACAGCTTAGACGAATGATAGTCAGCAACATTTTGGTTTTTGTTGATGTTGGTGTCACAGATAAACAAAGGCCCATTTCACTTCCTCACCCGTGCCCAAGGAACATATCACAGAAGCTAACACTGATCTCATATCATTGAAGTTATAGTAATGGCCAAGACTTGACTGTGTGTGATAGGCCCCTTTCTGTACAAAGTGGTGGGGTATACATTATTATCATTATTTTATTTGTGGTATTCACTTTAAACAACTATTCTTCCTTGGTTCTTTTCACTTTCATGAGCTGACAACACTAAATGTGTGTGTTCCTGTTCAATTTTTAAATAACATTGATCCAAAATGTCTAACGACACAATTAACATGATCCTCCTCTGTAAGGGAATTTGTTAATGATGGTGGGTTGATTGTTCATAAAGAACAACTACATGTTTAGTTGGGCTGATCAAAAGGAAAACTAATCCGTTGCATTAATGTTGAGACACATGAAGTCTGAGTTTTTCTTTCATCAGTGGGTGTGATCTAATATTTTTTATCACGTTTGACATGCGACTAAATTTCAGTGACATCTTGACCACTCATTAGATTTGGCTTTTTGCGGCAGGCAATAGAAATTTTGCTCCACCTAGTGTGGACAGACATCTACGTCTACAGTAACACGGAGCTGAAAACCCGATCAAATACAGAGAGGAGGAGTCATTCTTATCTGTGAGAGTGAAATCGTAGATGGAGGCATGGTTCCCTGTTACACTGAGATGTCTGTCTTCCACTAGGTGGAGCCAAAATTTCTAAATTGACTGCGTCAAAAGAGAAATCTATTGGAGTGGTCAAGGATGTAGACTGTATTTAGGTCCTGTCACTGTGATAATATTTTTTATATCATGCACGCACTGATAGAAAGAAAACCAAGACTCATGTGCTTCATCATTATTAGCAACTGGGATTACGTTTTCTCTTTTGGATCAGCTAAACTTAAACTGGTAAGTTGTACACTTTATGAACAACAACTCACATCAATTAACTAAAGTTCCTTACAGAGGAGGATCGATGGTTATATGTGTCGTTGACTTTTTTGGTCATGGTGGTTGTGAAAATGGAACACAGAGGAAGCACATCCTTTAGTGTATTGTAGCATCATGAAAGTGAAAAAGAACCAAGAAGAAATATTGTCGTTTTAACAAGTGACAGTAACATACAAAATAAGATATAATGGATAATAAATGTATACCCACAACTTTGTACAGAGCTATCACACACAGTCAAGTGGCATAACTCTAACTTCAATGATATGAGATCAGTGTAGCTCTGTGATAATGTTCCTTGGTGCACTTGTTGAGGAAGTGAAATGGGCCTTTGTTTATCTGTGACACAACATCAACAAAAATGGTTGTGACTATCATTCGGTCTAAGCTGTTATTTACATTTAACTATCAATAGCTCGTGCATTGATGTGAGTGTAGACTTTGGTTTTACTCCAGCAATGTTAATAATCAGTTTAATCTCTGGAGTTGTCAGTCAGTCGAGTCACATTCTGTAGTGTTGGCTGTGTAAAAGTTCTGGCATGTAGGCTTAGGCTTTGTGAGAGGCGCTCTGCACAGTGGTTTGAATGTTTCTCCTCATTGCTTGTTGGGTTTTCCAAAGCCAGCTGTAGCATTACCTAGCGAGGCAGCAGCAGTTAGATTTAGTCAAAGCCATCCAAGCAACACTGCCCACCTCCCTGATCTGCTGTTATCACCATGAATGGGGACCTGCTTCAGAAAAAGCAGGAGAATTGAGATATAACCAACGTTTCCCACCCTCATTCATGCAGCTCCACTTGTCCATGCACATATGGGTGCCAAGTCAAAACACATCATGAGCAAATCTAATTTAGCTGTGCATCACAGATTTTTCCTCAGTGACAGAGTCATAAGAATTTGCAGACTGACAGGAGAACACGGCTGATATGAATTCAGTTATAATTGGCTGCCTCTCTGGTAAAAAATTGAAGGCAGCTCCATTGACTCTCACGAGCTTTCAAAGCACCATCGTTTTAGTCAAATCAATGACAATCACATGGCCTGAAATATTGTGACAATAGATGGAAGCTCAAAAATAGCTGTCTTTTTTTGGGGGGAGGAGAGCCAGGGCG